GGGGGGGGGAGAGCAACATAAAGGTTTGTAGGTTTGGACTTACAAAGAGCAAGGAAGGTGTGTTTTGAGTTCATGAGCACCAGCACTCTCCTGAGCAGATCTTTGTTCATAATGTAGGTCTTGATATGATAGGTGTGATGCTCCACACAGAAGGTGAGCAGCTCCAGGATCAGTGCGAGGAGTTGAGCCGTTTGGAAGTTGTCTGCAAAAAAACAAACAAACAAACAAAAAAGGCTCTAATCAGAACATTTCAAACGCGCAACAAAAATAGGGGGGCAAATTAATTTTCAACTGGATCCCATAGCTGACCAATGGTTGTTCAATTAAATTAAACTGGACCCACCTGGACAAACTGGGTTAATCTTTGCAGATCCTTCTGGATGATCTGGAAGGCGATGGCAATCAATATTTAAAAAAAAACCTTCTGTAATGTAACATTATGATTATGCTTTGCACTGAGGGACCAGGTTTACCTTTTGAGTTTTTGTCATGTGCAGTGTTGGCCAGAAGAGGAGCAGTCAGGACATGCATGCAGTACTTGTAAAAGAAACTCAGGAATTCCGTCTTCTCCGTTTTCTGAAAGAAGTTGGTGACAGTGGAATTGGTGTTAAACAACAAACAGTTCCTCCATTGAGGATTAAAGGTGGTACACAAAATGCAATCACTCTGTGCTCTCCTATTTACGTTTGAGGTGGTAATGCGACAAAATGTGAAAATGTTAAAGCACTGAGAATAGTTTCGCAAGGCTCTTTACAAGGTTAACTTTGAACAATCTTAAACAGCTCTTTGAAGTCTGGACGTCGTTTCTCTTTTGATAACCGGCAGATATGTGAACTGGCTTTACTTACATTGGTGGAAGCCAGCATATTTTCAGGGTCGATGAGAGTCCTGAGCAGACCCATAAGCTGGACGGCCCCTCCCAACTCTGGATCAGAGTCACAAATCATCTGCTTGATCACAACATTAATCAGGAGAACGTCCTAAAATAGAAGCACAAAACCAACCAGACAGACATGGAGAAGATGCATTCATTAAAAAAGATGAATATATTAAAACAAGTTCATCAAGTTTGATTGTATCTATGCTGAGTGAATATTACATCCCCTCAGTTTTTTTTAAAAATTATTATTATTATTATTTTGTGTTGATTTACGCTTTGCATCTCAGATTGTCGGACTGTACAACACTTCCACACTAGTCGCCGCAGAGCTACAAACCAACCTTGAGACACGCACACACACACCACATATCACAAACATATCACAGAAACTAATATGCGACACTGAATATTACACTTTCGAGGCAAGAACGTTTCTGCTCACATCTTCGGTTTGCTGTGGTTCCTGCATGACAAACTCCCTGACCATCGACGGGCTGAACTCCACCAGGTACGAGAATATGTCAATAGCTGCTGCTCGCACCTGCAAGTCATCCATTCCCTACAGAAAAGCAAACATGTTGGAAAACAATATTGTAGAATAAGAGCAAGACGACAACGCACAAAAACACGTCAATTCAGATGAATATTTTCCATTGGGTGTCAGATCTTTTATCTTCTCTTTGAAGAAATACAAACTGCAGATTTTACAGTTCAGTATATACGCTGCACATAATTATAATTCATGGTAAACTCAAACGTGTGAGATTTGCATACATTTGTGGGGTTTTTTCTCTTTAAATTACAACATCACCTGAAAGTTAATTTATATCAATAATTCAATTTAAGAAGTAACATAAATTCTGCCTAAACTGAAATATCTCAAGCATTTATTTCTGTTATTGTTGATTTTAGCCTGAACAAAAAAATGTTGATAGAAAACTGTTGCTTAAAATATGATCAGTTCCAGTGCAATGGATCAAGAATGTTTGTTTTTTGTACAGATTTGCTGAAATAAATATTTCAATTACATTCACAGAAATGCAACAACATACCATGACTATTTCAAGAGCGGGTAAAATCCCTAGATTTGCCAGAGTTTTATAGAAGGCGTCCCTGTTTTGTGGCTGCAATGTTTGCGAAAAAGCACAGAATTCCTTGACAAAGTTCACCTACAGAGTGGAAGAGGGGGGGGGGGGAAAAACAAACATTTTTAAAATTTTCCAAACAGAACGGACTTTTAAACATTACTTCAAACCGTTTTTGAGTCTTACTAAGCGACTTACCAATTCTCTTCTTTTACTTTCTTCTGTGGCTTCATCTGTAAGCTGTGCAAAGACCTCAGTGAGGAACTTCTCATCCTCCTGCGACAACAGTGAGACGTACGTTAGAAACAAAGACACCTACCAAAGTAAGAAGACTTGGAGATAAACTCAAGCAATGGTGAAAGAAGAGAACCCAATCCTGACATTTATTGGCGCTTACCATGATGGTTATCTCTAGAAATGTTTCCATTCACCTGTGTAAGAACAGTTGGAAAGAACTAACAGAAAATTTATATATTCCTTTAACGTTAATTTGCTTCTGCGCATTACTTTGGCACGGCGAGTACACTTGGTCGTCTCTCAGACGTTGAGATTTTGCTTCAACACAAAGACCAGAAATCTCAGATGAACATGTTTTAATTTTAAGCCAGACGACGTGACAGGCAGAAACTTGAACATTTTCTCAAAACAGAGAAAATCTGAACAGATAAGGTTAGAAAAAAAGAGAATACACAAACATTTGAGGAAATTTAAGGAAACAAAATTATTATAATAAAAAAAGTTGAATCGTACAAATTAGTTGAGAACCAGGAAGCGTTAAAATGCATCTCAACCCATTTGTTCTGTATGCTTCCCCGCTAACTTTGATTTCTTGCTACAGAGCAAATTTTGACATACAAAACTTCATTTGCAAAATAATAAATAATTATTACAGGTATATAATTTCATGTTCATTAATATTTTTAAATGCCATCATAAAATTTGCTTCTATCATTTTTTTTTTTAATTATTTGACAAAAGGGAAGAAAGAGCATCATAAACGAGACAACACTGAAGAACATTCAATCTAAAAATTACACTGGATCATCAAAATTAAATGTACAAATAGAAAATCCCATCAAATAATGTAAACTTTCTCAAAAGGCATCCACTTGTCACTTTTCCTCATACTGTAAGTAAACCCGCTTTTGTCCTTACCTGCAACATACTGACAATTTCCACTTTGTTGAAGAAGATGAAGGAGGTGAGGGTGGACAGGAAGTTCTCTTCAAACACTGATGGCGTGGGCAGGATTATGTCCTGGATGTACTGAACTCTGTAGGTCTGGTGGATTTTCTGCCGCAACTCCGAGTCTGTGATGGGAATCACCTCCTTAAACTTCGCCGTCTTGGTCAGAAACTCACGATGCCGCTTCGGCTGCACCAGCGCCGGATCGTACTCCAGACAACCCACCACGTCCATGATGCAGTCGTCCGAGAACATCACCTCGAACAGGGCCGCTTTGTTGAGGAACAAGACGCCGCGCACGATCTCGTAGAGGTGGTGCAGGCCTTCCCGGTTGTCCAGGTCCTCGCACACTCTGAATAGGCCCAGGAGTTTCTTGATGTAGCCCTCGCTCATCAGCGCCAGGGCGAGTTTCTCCCTCCGGATGGGCGAGGACAAGACGGAGGTGACCAGGTCGGCGATTTCTTCGAGCCGGCCTAACTCGCAGGGCGGCAGCTCGACCAGGTGGGTCGTCTCTGGGATCTCTTCAAAGTGGTCTTCTTCGGACTCATCGATGGGGTCCTGGGTGATGTCCAGAGCAGGGTCCTTGCCTTGAACCTGGGCGACAAATGTTTGACAAATCATTAAATGAATGAATAACCAAGTACAACATTTTGTAATTATCTATAATCATATGTAATTATGGCCATTTCAGTAGCAACACCGAAAAAGGGGTTCAGATCATTTATACAACTTTTACGGCAGTTTGAGATGTAACAATTTTTTATAATAAATTACCTCAAAATGTTTAATTAAGCAGATAAATCGGCGTGCAACCGTAAGTACAAAATATTTTGTTTATAGGTACAAAAATGGACAGGGATGTGACCATTGACTGTAAATGAGCCAAATTGTGAATTGACCCTGAGCTCAAAACATCCGTTTGTTAGATAATACCTGACAAATCTTCTCCCAGATCTCATCACAGCCGGCCTTTTCCTGGAAACTTAAGGCAAGGTCATAATTATCTGCTTCTGACCAGACAATCAGTGTGTCCTGGAAGCGAGATAAAGAAACACGCAGTTTTACTCAAAGATCCGCATCTGATTCACATAAATTAGTAGCTTTCATAATAGATAAAGAGACACAACTGGATTGAGCTCAAAGAGTGAGGTCAGCTCACTGAAAATTTTTTTACCTGTTGTTTCTGATATGCGGTATTCGGACTTATCTTCGACTCCAACAATAATGAACCTAAAAGAGTGAGAAAGGTGATTTATTAAAGCGACGGTGACGTGTTCAAAGTAAGATAGGCAACTCTATTGTAAATTATATGCCTAAGCAATTAGGGCATTTAAATAAGACTTGAGAAAAAAAAATCCAAAAGGCAACATTCGCAGAAAACTCGTCATAAAATTAAGTAAGATTTATTTGTATCATCTCTCCTCGAACAAATGTGGTTAGCCTATTATGATAACTTTGTACGTGTAAAGCGAGACTTCGAGGCCCCCCACCCCCCTCCCCGTGTTACTATAAAGGTGTCCGTTATTCAAATAAATAATGGAAACCGAATAATCCTTAAACACTGTTTTAGATTAAAACAACATAAACCCTTTTAATTGCCAAAGACAGTTGGCTTTATAGAACATAGCCTCATAAAAACAAGTAATCATCAACTGAAAGCCCCGAGTCCGAACAAGCAGTAGATAGCATGCTAAAGCTAGGTAACGTAACGCGGCTATGCTAACGAGGAACTCACCGTCAGATTCGGCTCGAACTAATAACGAAATTCCCTTCAGTCGTTCCACAAATGTGGACGAAACGTGTCCGGTGCCCCGGTCATCCCATTGTCGGTCTTCGTTCAGGGTGTACACTTTCACCCGCCGCCGAGTGTCCGACATGGTTAACCGAGTCTGAGCTAACAGGCTATCAGCTCGCCCTGTCTAGTGTTTTCCTCGACCTGTTAACTTTTTTCCCACCTGCATGTTATAAAACATGCACGTCTAATGAAAGTTTACGGCAGCAGTTATATAATTTTTTTTTTGCCTAGTTCATAAACATATTACGTCTACCACATAAAGGGTTTAAGCAGAAGGCCTGCTAATAAAACAGTAAAATTCAAAGAAAGCACAACAACTCTAACGGCCTCCTCGCTAACGTCCACAGACCGCCATCTTGTAATCCGATCTTCGTAGATGTCAATCAAACTGCCGTCGGATGGGCGGAGCTTTGCTCCCCTACAAGGGCTGCATGAGTTCGCCACCTGCAGGGAAAGAAAAGAATCGCAGCAACATCCATCCAGAGAAGTTCATATATTCATATAATTTCAACATTGTGTCCATAAGACACATGTTGCAAAGGATACCTGTATATTTTAGGGTACTGAACAAGTTCAATATGCTAAATCCACATTTTTCCTGATCGTGAAAAGGCTTATTTTAAAAACGACATTAACAAATTATCACGTTTCAGCATGTGGCCTTTATCAGTCGTGCCAGAAAACAAACAAAAATGTTAATATTAAAGTTTCCTTGAATGAATGAATGAATGAATGAATGAATAAATAAATAAATAGTAAACATTTGTGAGATATTCCAGATACAAATAATAATAATAAAAAAAACTGCATAAAGACTGTAATATGGATGTACAGACTAATGACAAAGTGATAGATGCAATTTCATTGCCTCCCCTAATCAAATCTGGAAAATTTTTGCAATCAAATTCCATACTTTTCCACCTCTTCAGTTAGCACCTGAGCCTTCATGTTTCTTATTTTTGTATTGAAGGATTTGGCATTACAACTTCTGGATTTTTTTTTTTTTTTTTGTATTGCAAATTACCACTAGTGTTTCACCTGAAAGTGAAGCCTTTTTTATGTTTCCTTGTGGGTTTAAGCTATTTTGTATTACATAAGATTCTTATTTAATATGTAACCTTCAACGTGCAGAATAACAGAAGTGATTATTTGTGCGTCTTTCTCTGGCACTCACTTTTTGTGCTCTATGTCAATTTCAGTTTATTTCCTTGTAATGTAATACATTTTTATTATAATGTATTTCTTAGCACTATTTTATGCATTAACACAATTTGTGTTTGAATATATCTCCCTTTTTTTCTAGAAAGGTACTATTTTATTAAACTCGATAAAATACAAATAAATAAGAAACCACAGCAAATATACTATAAAAGAACCCGACATTCCTTTATTTACAGATCACTCACAAACTATAAACATAACACAAGACAAAATGTCTTGTCTATGTTTTCCGCATTATTGTGTCCATATTTTGATCCCGGCAGTCTGTCGGTGCACATTTAGATATTAAATATGGAGCTCCAAATCAAAAAGAGCCAGTACTGTAACTCAGGTGTGAGTAATAAAAGCAGAGTTGATCTGCGATGTGAACAGATCTCCAAGTCGTTTCATGCACTGAGACGACGTAAAAACAGATCAGTACCACGACAACAGCTACTTTTCTCTCTCACTTTGTGCACACTGCCACCAGGTTGCTTGTTTCGTCAAACGGCATCTCTGTCATCTTCACGCCCTGCAGCTCCGTCTGCTTTTTCAGTCCACAAAAACATCTCCCTTTGGCAGCCTTCTCCGTTAAGTCTTTGCCCTAAAGACATCGCCGCAGCGTGAATCCCTTCTTGTCAGACAAAGCCTGCTGTGGCACCCGGTCATGAATCGCTGTTGTCCCTGTGGACGCTGCTGGCGCCCATGGAGATGCTCTGCTTCTCACTCAGCGTCTTGACAACGGTTGCCGCGGGGGAGTGAAGCACCTTCCGAGACAGCCTCATTCTTCCGTCTGTTGGATCGCGACCAAAGTACTTCACCTGTCATTATGACAAATTAAACATTATATTGCAGTAAGAGAATGAAATCAAGAAACAACCAGCTTTATAAACACCTACCTGTAACTCCTGTCCCACCTCTAAGCCCAAAGCACTGGGATGTTTAATCTAAAACAAGGGGGAAAAAACACACCAATTAATTTACAATCTGTTCTTAAGCCTTCATTAAACTTAAACAGATGCAAATGTACTGACTCGTTTGTGGTCCAACTGGGAATTGTGCAGTAGGACGGGAGTCATGTTAGGATAAAGTTTCACCATAACACCGACGTCCCTACAGAGGAAAGGAAAAGCCATTAGTATTGTACCCATTATATAATAATTCAGGAGCTGCAGTGCACCGTAAAAGTGCACCTGCTGTTACTGCCACTCTAGTAACAGCAGGGTTCCTCACAAAATGGGAAATACAAGAGAACATGACTTTCAAGATGGCGGTGCTGAATTTTATTGACACAATGCAACAGCCACTCACGTAAACTTGCCGACATCTGCACTCAAGGCAATAATTTAAGTTTAAAACAACTGGAATTGTATATTCCCAAAAGCGTTCACTCGTCTCCCTTCACATCGCTAACACCTTATTTCCCACTACACAGAGTTTAATATGAATTTGGCCAACCCTTTTTATATATAAAACATTAGCAATACATTAAAAGATGCAAAAAACAATTCTTTCTTTAAAACAAGAAAAATATTTTATTACCTTTATTACTTTATTGAATTTGAACAAGGTGAAGCTAAAACTGTGCCACTTGAAGAGTTTAGGGTAAAACATATTTACAGACAATGGTGTTTTTAATTTAAATGCAAATGTATATATATTTTGAATATTCTGAATATGTTTTATTTTTGGGGGTTTTTTTTCAGCAAATGGCCTTTTGAGTCTGTACAATCCAGTTAACGATTAATCGATGACTAAAGTAGTTGACAACTATTTCAATGAGTTTATATTGAGAAATTAAAAAGTTTTAACATATTTCTACCAGTGCTGCCTTAGCAAAGCTGCTAACGTCTATTATATTATAACTGTACTGCAGTGTTTCCATACCTTATTTCTGAGATTGTGGCAGTGTAGATAGCTCCAAACTCCAGCTGCTGTTCTTGCTGCCAAACAAAGACACAAATGCCAACATTTGCTTCATAAATCAATAGAAAGCCATAACTCTATAAATGTTCAAGTCGGAATGGCTAAGTTCAGGAAGGTGACAGATCCAGCCAGAGGATCTGTTGTGAAACCAGGCGAGGACTCACGTCGTCTTTGCAGATCTCTTTGATGAAGTCTTGGGCTTCGTTCATCGCTCCTGGTGTCGGGGCGAACACAGAAAAAGTCTCCTCGTCCACCTGGCTTATTGTAACACCTTGACGGGTGTCGGCGAGGGGAAAGAAAATGTATGCCATTTATATTCTGCTAAAAGTCTGTAGTGATTCAATATACTTTTCAAAAGTTTATTTCCCCCTGAACCTCTCCACATTGGGACACATTACAGTCACAAACTTCTGTGCATTTTATCTGGATTGGATCCAAATGTGGAGGATGAGCCTCAGCTGCTCTTCTGATATTACCCTGTATTCAGCTCTATCAATGTTCAATGTAAATGAATACAAATGCATGTCACACATTCACATTTTCAAATTATATTAAAAAAAAACAAGCAAACAAAAAAAAAACATGTTTCATTTTATTTCAACTTCAATCATGCTCTACAATGTGCGGCTCTATTACAAGAAACTCGGTTAAAATGCACTCTAATCTGCTATTCTAACAAAACTGAAGTGAAAGAAAACTTTTGTGAGGCTCTGTATTCCTACATCTTCCAGACACGACCTCATTACTAGAACAATACCTGTCTGAGCCTGAAGTCTGCGAAGGTTATATCCTCCCGGACCAACAAAGCGAGCTCTCCTAGACACAGGCACCTGCACATTTTCTGAGGCAAAAAAAAACAAAAAACAGAACAACGAAACATAAGTCTAACACACCAACAAACTTATTTTAACAGGTTCCAAACCGCCTGATTTTTCTAACCTACCGACAACAGGTCCGTTCTCCTTCCTCTTCTCTCTGGGTTTTGCTATACATTTGTTCATAATGCCCAATATTTCCCTCTTTGCCACTGAAACAGAAGAACATTCAATCAAAAATTACGTTTATATTTTAGTAAAGTAATCTTGACTTTCTAGAGGGACTTGTATACCTGTGGCCTGCTGAATCGCCTCCATGACCACCTTTAGAGGTAAACCTGGAATCTTCACATCAGCCTTGAAGAAAAACAAAGGAAATGAACTTAAATGACCATGGAGACGTTTATTGTTACCAGCTGCCAGGTCTTAAAACGCAGCACCTGTAAAGCAGTGATGCCTTTGTTTGTTCCTGCCAGCTTGAAGTCCATGTCTCCTAGATAGTCCTCTATTCCCTGTTCAGAAGGGCATAAATGGCAAATATTCAACATTTTTTTGAAATTATTTCATTAGCAGATCTTTTTTCAAAACTCAATTAAGCAGAAAATTGTACCAGAATATCCGTCAGCAATCTGTAGTCTTCCATCTCGGTTGGTTTCTCCGGGTTCGCCTTGGAGATGAGACCGATGGCGACACCTGCCACCGCAGAGGAGATGGGAACACCTGGTGACACAAATATGGACATAAATTAGCAAAGAATCTCTCAGTGAAAAGTAACCAGACCATCAATTAGTTCTCCATGTTTTAGCATTGACTTCATGAATTCGGATGAAAATTATCGTTATCCTCACTCCTGCAAATCTTTGACATATTTATCAATTGAAGTTTTATCAAAAGGCATCATCGTACTTCAGATGAGTGCTCTGTGAACTGAGTGATGCATAAAATTGGCATGAATTTTTGTTAAGATATTTATGATTAAACTCTAAATGAAATTTACTACTAAACAGACCTGAGAGCTTCAAGTACCTGAGTCCATGAGAGCCAGGCTGCCTCCACATGCCGAAGCCATCGAAGACGATCCTGAAAGGAGATTAAAACCAAAAAATCGGAGTCATGGGAAATCTAGTACTGTTTGTTTTTGGGGTTTTTTAAACTGTGTCGCAGTTTCCAGAATGCATCACAGCGCTAACCGTTTGACTCCAGCACTTCAGCTGTGACCCTGATGGTGAAAGGGAAATCTTTAGGAATGACGGGCCTCAGAGCCTTCTCAGCGAGAGCGCCTGCAAACACACAAAACGAGAAATTTAATGGCAATACAGTACTGGGACGGAGTCTGTGGCTGATACACATCAACGTGTTGCCATTTTTTGTTTTCTTTCACGAACCGTGTCCGAGTTCTCTCCTGTTGAGTCCTCCCACCTTTCCAGTCTCATTCGTTGCGTAAGGA